CCTGTATACTTCCTCGTCTATTGCGAAGTTAGCCTGCGTTTTCTGTTTCCTTCTACTTTTCCAGCACCTCCAGCTGCCGCAGCTGTTTCGGTACAGGCTCTCTCTATCTGTCTCTCGCTCTGTCCTCGTCCCACGCACCGTACTCGTCGCACCTCGTCGCGAGTTCGCGAGGTAAATATGTATATACCCGCGCACGGCCCCGACGAGATTTAGGTGGGCTCGTTTAATGCCCGTCCGGTAAGGAGTTTCTAATAAATATTCGATTAGCTGATTTATTCCGCCGCGAGCCAGCCGCTGGTTTAGAGAATCGGACACCCTCGGATGACTAAGCACGATTCCAACCTGTCTCTGATAGCGCGTGCTCCTCGTGATTCATGTTTGAAAAAAAGGCAGGACGGGAAAGGAGAAAGAAGGGAAAAAGGGAAAACGAGACGAGCATTGTCTTGGCGAGCGACACGTCAGCCCAGCGTAGGTTCCTTCCATTATTTTTCTCCTCTTTCGCTCCTCGACGACGACGTTTAATTCCCCGCTTCCTCTTGCTTATTCTCTCGCCCCCTCGCGGATTAAACCTCGCCGCCGCTGCGTCCCGACGCCGTCCTTGTCCCGCGCTCTGCCTCCATCTCGCGCCCCTTCGCGCCCCTTTCGCACCCCTTTCGCCCCCTTTCGTTTGGCTTCTCACCTATGCGGGAATACGTGCTCGAGCTAACCCTCGACGCCGGTTTGATTCCGCGTTTTCTGCGCCCTCCACCACCGTCCTCCTCGTCGATCCGCGCGACATCGTCAACGGCGTTTCCTCTTCTTCTGTCAGCTTTTCTCGCCTGCAATACACGCCCGCGATAATAACGTTTCCTTTAGAAGGCGGAAGGGGTTATTAAGATTATTGAAAGCGGTGGTAAATTGCCGAGAGAGAAGCAATTACGATATTTGTGACCGGGTTCAAAGCGGTCGCCTTTTAATTCGCCACGCGTGTTGTCCGTTCTCCAAGCTTCGTGCTTTCTTTTGTAATTTTTGTTTTGTCTTCTTCCACGTTTCCTGTGTTTCTTTTTTTCTTTTTGGAGTGTTCCTTTGTCGACGTTTGTGATATTAATTAGGAAAGAGGGCGGTGTTCTTTGGTGGACGGTTAAAATGGGAGTAATGCGGTGAAATTGGAAAGTTTATTTGTCGTTTTTGGAAAATCGCGTTCCAGCGATACTAATTTTGCTCGAGCTTTTTAATATTTTCTTAATGGGCGAATTCGCGTTTCGGTGTGTGCACCGGGGCTCGAAGCTTCGGCAGACTTCCATATCAATAACACGAATGTAATCAATAAACCGGGTGACGCCAAAAATAAAGCTCTTTTGTAGGAAAAATGTAATTACCGTATGGTTAATTTTAATCACCTACCCTCGGACGTTAAACACGGGGAACAAAGCAGGATGAGGGGATTCTTCTATCAAATTAATAAATTTTCCCACTTCTTCTCGCTAATTAAGTCATCGGTCGCGCCGCTGCAAAGCGATGGCCAACAATCACCGAAAAACCAATCTGTTAACCGATGCAGGCATACTCGAACGAGTCTCGAGAGGTCTAAGAAACGTTGCATAAAAATTATCGGTATACGAGCGAAATTTAATTAAAATCAATAATCGAACGAGTTAATAAAATTGCTTCCTATTTTTCTTAGTCGTCATTCAAGTACTTCCTATATTTTTCTAACCCCTTGCATTCGGCAATTTTTAGAATAATTATGAATATTTATATTAAGAATATTTAAGAAAAATAGTAATTCGAAGACTTTGTACTATAAAATTAAGGATATTTTTAAAACGATAAATAAGAAATCGTTTAGAAATTAGGACGTGGAATTATTCGTAGAATTATCGTTGGGTAATTTTGAATTTTATATATTAATTAACATCCATCTTTAAAATCGTATTAAGTGGCGACTGCGGGTCGCCCCTCGTGTGCAAAGGGTTAATCATTATAATATTCAGTGCATCTCCAAAAATTGCATAGCCTCTGTCACAAATATTTTTTAAAAGGAAGCTGCTTGTTACCCGAATAAAAATTAATACGTTTAAATTTTTCCTCGCGTTGTTGTTAAAAATATATTTTTCTTGTAACGAAGAACTTTCGTGGTGCAAGAAAACGGACAAATAATTTCCCCAATTATTACAATCAAAATTATCATTCGTAATATTATCTTCCACTATGCAATACGACAAAACTACCCTCCCATTCGTAAAGGGTTAAAAGTCCATGTCAATCTTCGCCTATTGCTTCTTATTCATTATTCAAATACTTCCTATATATTTTTAATCATTATACCATTCAACGTATCTCCAGAAATTGTATAGCCTCTCTCACGAATATTTCTTAAAAGGAAACTGTTTGTTACGCGAATAAGTATGAATAAATTCGCGTTATTGTCAAAAATATATTTTTCTTGTAACGAAGAACTTTCGTGGTGCAAGAAAACGGACAAATAATTTCCCCGATTATTACAATCAAAATTATCATTCGTAATATTATCTTCCACTATGCAATACGACAAAACTACCCTCCCATTCGTAAAGGGTTAAAAGTCCATGTCAATCTTCGCCTATTGCTTCTTATTCATTATTCAAATACTTCCTATATATTTTTAATCATTATACCATTCAACGTATCTCCAGAAATTGTATAGCCTCTCTCACGAATATTTCTTAAAAGGAAACTGTTTGTTACGCGAATAAGTATGAATAAATTCGCGTTATTGTCAAAAATATATTTTTCTTGTAACGAAGAACTTTCGTGGTGCAAGAAAACAGACAAATAATTTCCCCGATTACTACAATCAAAATTATCATTCGTAATATTATCTTCCACTATGCAATACGACGAAACTACCCTCCCATTCGTGGAGGATGAAAAATCCATGTTAGTGTACGCCAGGGACTTAGAATATCTCAACGATCGCTGACACCTCGCCCCGGTAAAAGCATCCACACATAGAACATACACACACCCGCGCGAAATAGTTCCTTCTTCGACGCTACCTCATCAGCATCTAAACGCCCCATTCATTTTTCCCTATTAAACAGCGGAAAAACGACGCCTCGATCGTGGACGTATCGCCGCGTACCACCCTTCGCCCCGTGGCCGGTCGTTCGTCAGCCACCCCCGTTGAAAACTCACCCCCCGTTGGCTGGTTTCGAAGCATCGGTTCTTCGCGCTCGCCGGCTTCTCCATTAGCATATTGTTTTCGCGGATTCGACGAAATATCACCGCGCGATGCTAATGGCTCGGCCTGCACTTTTTTCGGCGGGGCCCCGACAGTTGGTCATACGGAGTTAAATTAAAAACATAAATTCCACAGCGGCGTCCACCTACGGCTCTACCCCGTCGGCCGGCTCCGTGTGTTGTGCGCGTCGGGACGCCCGACCCTTCCTCTCCTTCGCACCCCGTCGCGCGCCTATCCTCTCTCCCTTTCCTTCCACCCTTTCTCCGCGTTTCGCTCGTTTAGCCGCGATTCCCAGCGGAAGTTCTCCTGTTTACGGTTACGAGGTTTTTTCGAAGCGACGCTTCGATCGCTAATTTCATTTGCGCCACGGCGACGTCGCGATGCCCTCGCGTCGCTCTCCGGCCGTTCCATTCGGCAAAGTTCGTCGGCCAGGGACGCGGGCCAATCAGTCAGGGGGATGAATGTCTCGCAAAACGCCGGCTTTTCTCCCCTCTTCCTCCTGTTTGTCTATTCTTTCACCTTCCCGCCGCTCTTTTTCCCCATTTACCTTACCCCCTCTCGCACCCCACTTTCGTTTGCTCTTCCTTTTCTTCCTTTCTTTTCCCCTCGCCGTTTTTTCCCATGATTGGCTAGGGCGCTGAAACGAACGGGTTAACACGGTCACTGTCGGATTAGCTGTGTGCAACCTGTCCACGGTGATATAATAAGGAGTTTGCTTTGTCACAGTGTGCGAGTAACGTGTGTAAACGGGTAGAAATAAAAATGGATACTCCAAGAATATGTATGTTTCAACTCTGTGATTCCGATCTCGGTGACAAGTGATTATCGCAGTGATTAACAATCGAGCTGTCCCCGTTACAGTTAACGTGTTAATTGAATCTCTCAACTGCTTGGTACATTAGTCGGATGCTAGTGCTTTCTTCAGCTATGGAATTCCTATTTTTCGTAGCCACTGAGCGTTTCCGAGCAGGAATTAAATTCGGTTGGGTCGAATTAATCTTAGCAATTAACCCTCTGCACTCGAGGGGCGCCTCTCAGTCGCCATTTAATCAAATTCTAAAGATAGATGTTAATTATTGTATGAAATTCAACGATGCTTGGAATATCGAAGTAAAATAATTCTACGTCTTAATATGCATACGATTTCTTGTTTACCGTTTTGGAAATGTTCTCGATTTTATGACAGAAAGTCTTCGAATTATTATTTCCCTGTAACGAAAAGATCGCCGAGTGCAAAGGTTAACCCTTCAGTCGCCATTTGATGAAATTTTGTAACTCGGTATTCGTTAATGCGTGAAATTTCAGATAATGTAACGGTGTACGAGGTTTCGAGATCAAATAATTCTGCGTGTTTATTATTCACTGCTCAGAAAAATGTCGTCAGCTTTGTAACAGGAAATCTTTGAACTCCTATTCTTCTTTAGGGTTGAAAGTTCATAGTACGAGATTAATACGAAGGTGACGAAGCATCAGAAGGCAAAGAATCGTTGGCAAATTGAATTATTATGAATTGATCATTGGAATATCGGTGAGAGGAAAATTCGGTTCTCGCGACGAAGTCGATTTTTACAACGTGGTCGATCCTCGTCCTGTTCCCTCGCCCAGTCAGGGCTTTTCCATAGTGTATTCATCGACACCATCGACGTTCATTCCGAATTTCGATTCTCCCTTCAAAATTCTATTCGTTTCTTCGTTTTTCTCACTCTTAGTTCCGATTTAATCTGTTGATGAGATGCGTAGTTTTAATGTCAGGGTGGATTTCGTGGAATGAAAACAAGAATAGTGAGTTTGATTACAGGCAAAATAACGGGCTACAGCTGACGGATCTGATCGGGGTGGAAACGAGCAAGAAACGGAAGCGACGAACTTCCTTCACGCCGCAGGCTTTGGAAATGCTGAACGCTCACTTCAACAGAAACACTCATCCTAATGGTAAGTTTTCCTATTCTACTTATGCCTGGTACACTATGAATTACGAACCATAATCGGTCTCTCGAGTGATCTCTGTAAATAACTGTATATTTTCTTAACTCGTTGCATAGCTGACATAATATTTCAGAAAAAGAGAATTTGCCTGGTATTAAATTAGAATATTAAATCCTGCGCACCATTTTTGACATTAAATTTAATATAATTTCTCTATTGATAAATATCTATATTTTACCTCATTTAACTCGTTGCGTGGATGACATAATATTTTAGAAGAAGAGAATTTGGCCATTATTAATCCCTTGGCTACTATGGGCGTCTATAGGCGCTTGGAAATTTTGCGTTGTGACACATGAGGCGCCTATGGGCGTTTAGAAATTTTATATTTGTGACACGGAGGACGCCTGTAGGCGCTTAGAAAATTTGCATTAGGGACACATAGGGGGCCTATAGGCGCTTAGAAATTTTGCGTTTGACACGAAGGGCGCCTATGGGCGCTTAGAAATTTTACATTTGTGACAAGGAGGACGCCTATAGACGCTTAGAAATTTTGCGTTGTGACACGGAAGGCGTCTATAGGCGTTCGGTGTAGTTTAGCTTTCTGACACGGAGGGCGCTTGTTTTCACAAAAATGGCGCACATCGTATCTCAATTCTTGCCGTATAGCACGGTCTCTACGTGTCAAAATCTGCTATAGTCAAGGGGTTAAAATAGCGTAGAATAGAAACGCACCATTTTCTTTCTTGTTTTTCCTGTGTCTCTTTTAATTTTAAGTGAAGTAAGGATTAAATTTGTGGCGGCATCATCCTCACCCTGGTTAATAGATGGATTCCTAATTGAAGGAGGTTCGAGGACTTTCTTCCAAGGCCTCGAAAAATCCTTCCGTTTTCTATGTATAAAATTTACCAATATTCCAATAGTATCCCCGTCTAAAGCAGGGCTTGCTAGATAGTCTTACCGATGAGTCCACTAGTGGGCCGAGGACGAAATCATCCCTCTTTTCCTTTCTTCCCTTCCAGCACCATCGCTGCGTCCAGGATACCTACCTGTCACCAGCCGACGACAATAATCGTGGGAGAGGACCTCCCCACAAATTTAATTCACGAATATTAATCTCTCCGAGTTAATTCTGGGGAGATCCCAGTCAATTCAATTACAGTTTTAAGTAGAGACACTGTATGTTTTGAAAATCTAAGATAAATCTAACAAAAGCTAGTAGAGTATTTGCGAATTAATCCACGGATCGTTTTTCCGCGTGGTGTTTCAGGTAACGAAATCACGAACCTGGCGCAGTGTCTCGGCTACGACCGAGAAGTGATCAGGATTTGGTTCTGCAACAAGAGGCAATCGCAGAAGAACGCGGATAGGATGTTAGCGAAGGACGTGAAATAGACGTGGGCAGAGATTTATCGCGAATGGAACCAGTGACGAAGAAAGCACATAGAAGAGGCGAGAAATGAAGAAAAGCTTTAAGGACTCGAGTTTACGTTGCACGGATGTATTCCACGAGATTCGAATCGATCGCCACGCCGAAGCCAGGGACAAATCGATGAATTTCGCATGAATGGGGATTTTAAATGCTGAGACGGTGGGCGGGCGGGGTGCAGGGGAAGGATCACCGAATCTCGGCGTCGCGTTAATAAAATAATTCCGACAAATCAGCGCGTTCGAAAAGAATCGACTTTAAAAAGTCATGTTCCACGAGGTCAGCCAGCGGGGCCATGAATTTTTAAAGCCGCGCTCTCGACGATCGATGTAAAGATCATTGTGATTGCAGGCGTATACGAGACCTATCTGTAAATAGTTTTAACCTACGGTTAATGTGATGTACAGGAGTCGAGCGTTTAACGTTGATAATTGCCTTAATCGCCATCGTCTTATCCGGTATTCGCTAAACGATGAAAAATGAAATCGGTTAAATATTGGAAGATTTTGTTGACGATGAAATTTGGTCGGTACGGTTCTTTTTACCGGCAGCCGGTAAGGAAGCGACTGACGATAATACGTATGTACGAGAGGTGCGCGGAGTGCCGAAAACGTCGGGTTGAAACAGGACGGTATTTTTTCTCGGGGTCGGGACGGAATCCCGAAGATTTCGGGACCCCGAAAGTATTCGGGATCCCGAAAATATCCGAGATTCCCTAAGATGTCCGGGATTTCCGAAAATTTGAAGAACTGCCACTACGGTATTCGTTTTGTTGAATATCAGGCGGTTCTTAAAATTTCTGGGCATCCCGAACGTTCTCAGAATCCTGACGTTTTCGGAATTGTGCATACCTTTGATGTACAAAAATATATTTATCGACGAACGGTACACGAGGCGTTATCGGCGAGTGGTAAAACAGGGATTCGGAGTTGGCGGGATTTTTAAAAGGAAAAGATTCCCGGATCTCGATCGAAGTTCGTGTATCGTTTGTCGCGAGACAGAACGCGGTAAGACGTAAATCAAACACAATTATCAAGTCGCGTCTCGGCTCGTGAATCTAGGTTAAGTAATTCCGTTAAGTAATCGCACAGATAACGCTAGTTCGTGAAACGATCGACAAGCTTCCAGCTATCGAAGAATCGTCTGTCATTAATAAACGAACAGACGAAGCACAAAACGAGGGTCGTGCAGAAAATATGATCGCCTTGGATCGTCTGAAGGTTGGAATAATACTTTTTGTACGATATCCGACCGGGAACCAACAGATCCAGGAGTGGGCCTATGCGTGGTGTAATGGGGCCCATTTTGCACACAGGAAAGAACATAGTTGAAGCAACGAGAACAGCAACAGTATAACGATATCAACTACAACAGCAACAAACAGTAACAACAGTACCGTCACGTTCACATGCCATACACAGCGGGATACAAGTTCAGTTTGTTCACACATGAAATAGCAATGGAAAAGTTTTGACAGTACCGCCGCTATCGTTTATGACGATCCATCCAACTCTTTTATTTTTCATTCTTACCGGTGATACAACCACTCGTTTACAGGCTTCGTTAAGGGAAACCAAAAAGGTGTTTCAACCATATTGTTCTCTGGGTGTGCTCGTCTGTAAATTATACGCGTGTATTTAGATGAAATCGATCGGAAGGGTAAAAAAAAAAAAAAGGGAAAAAAAGGTAGTCACGCGAGGGAAAATGACGCTAGGAAAGTACCGAAAAAGAAGGTAAAAAGGAAAAGAAAGAAATAAAACGAAAATGAAGATGGAAAAAGAAGATGGAACTTTGTAGCGAGTAAATTAACGCAATAACGTCTTTTTGAAAGTATATTATCGATCGATCGTAAGGATCCTCCTGATACCCTTTTAAAATTCTATTCGAACCGGAAACGAAAGGGACGTTGAAGATGGTTTCAGGTTTTTTCCCCCGCAGAAGTAACTTGGAAAAAAAGTACTAGTCCGTAATAATCTGCCATATAAAGAGGTATACGTATTAAACATTTACGCATCTTTCGTTCCTAAATGTTCGATCTGCTTGGCCGCTGGTGACTGTATCGATATATTTATATTTGGTACGCGTCCCGTCTCTCTCTCTTTCTCTCTCTATAGATACATAAACCCGGGTAAATTTGCAATCGAATTGTACTGCTTCAAAAATAAATGAGAAAAGAAAAAGACCGAAAGGAGAAGAGAAAGCAATAAAATAAGTTCAATTTCTCGGTAAATTAACCGGAAGAAAAAGTATGAACGAACGTCCATCTTTTTCTTCCAGTTAAATAGAAAATTGAACCGCGACAGGCAGCTTCGGAACAATTCGAATCACCTCTCCCGATGATTCCTTCTCGCGAAAGATCGACAGTCCGCGTCGATGGTGTTCAAGATGGCGTCTCCGACTTCCGCACCCGGCCCCATAACCTAGAATCTAGAACACACCCGTCGGTGACCTTCGAGGCATGGACAGATTTGTTCGAAGCCGGTCGAAGAACCACTGACACAAATTCCACGGTAATAAAGCGAGCTGAGTATGTATAATCTACCATATACACATAGGTATATATATACGTGTGTACAACGCGAACAGGTTCACTCGATAACGACGCTAATTCGATTGCAAATTCACCGCGGTGTGCGGATAAGCGCGAGAAGAGGCGAATCGCGCGCCACAGTCGGCGTTGGACGAAACTAATTTCAGTTCCGGCGCGATCGAAACGCGTGGTCGTGTCGCGCGAGGACGACGCGTTTCCACGTAGACGGGACGCGGGGCGACCAGGGTTCAGGCTTCCAATTTCCACGGACGAATCTTCGTATTTAACGCATCCAGAGGAACGGTTCGTGAAAAAGTGAAAAAGAGGAAAAAAATAGGGGGAGAAGGAAACGGTGAGAAAAGATCGAACGAGGAGAAAGAAAGGAGAGAGAGAAAGAAGAGGGAGAAGGAGCGTGGAGAAAGGGAATCGAGGAAGTAAATAAATAAAATAAATTATAATACCACTACGAGAAGCTTAAATATCGACCATCCATCAAGGATAAAGTATCTCTCATGTATTCCCCGGTTAATCGATAGTGATAATAGCGTTTACTTTTGAATGTGTTCCGCTTCAAGTGAAAGGGCTCTCTTTCTTTCGTCTAAACTAACTAACTAGTGGCAGGATAGTCGTTTCTAAATGAAAAATGCGAAAAAAAAAAATAATGTAACACATAATATACCGCAAAGATGGCGCGCGTTGCGCGCGCAGCCCAACGACATCGTTATCTCTCTCGACGATTTTTCCTTCCTTGCCGTAATAAACGATACTGTAGGCGAAACTAAACCCATCCCAGAATAATGGTACGACACGATTTCTTAAATATCTCTCAGCTCGAGTATAATTAAAGGGAAATAAAAAAAAATAAATAAAAATAAAATAAAGGTAATAATAACACTCACACACGCATACGTACACACTCTCGGTACACATACGCGACACTGCGCGCACGACCGTTGCGCGAGCGAGCAAAACGAAATGATCATACCGCACACGCACACGCGTATACACACACGTAAACCTACATACATAAATCGTTCATGCATACAGGTACACATGTACTTCGATACCCCGCCGTTGTAATGGGCTAATTCAGATTAATCATTAAACCACGAGATCCTTGCAAGGAGCGTAGCTAGGAGCGCGAATGGGTAGCGAGTGTACATATTAAGGCGACACCTAGGGACTGCAATATCGTAAGAATCTAAAAAAAGAAAAAAAAATAATGGTACTTTAAATAATCGTAATAGCTATGAAATAGCTCGACGACCTTGACTCCGACTGCGACAATTGGACGAAAACGACGGACCGACATGTTCGATTTAACCGTTCAACCGACTATTTAACTGACTGTCTAACTGGACGCATGCGCGGTTAAAGGAATCGAAAGAAAATATGGCGGCGAACAAAAAACCGGGGGGTGGGGGGTTGGGAGGGTTAAAATGAATAAATTTGTAAGGGGTAAACGCGTACGTTTAAGGTATTTTACTCTCTAGGATACGTTTAAAGATACGAGCAAAGTGATCTGTTCCTAAACGAAGCACATAAAGATGGCGGCAATAGGAGATACAGGAAAGACGGAAAACAGTCGGGAAAAAAAAATGGAAGAAAAAATAGAGAAGGAAAAGAGACAGAGTTATGTATTATACGAGTGAGAATGAGGAAAAGGGTACACGGTTGAGGGTGGGGGTTGGGACGAATGGTGACGATTCAAAATTCAAAATTTTGATTATGGGGAGGGGGGGCATGTATGTTGTTCTTTTCGACGAAGAAGACGAAGGACAGGGGTGGCACAAAGAGAGAAAAGAATGAAAACGTTTGTACAGAGATATTCCGGTTATTAAATTTTGTTATACGAGGAAATAAAAAAGAAAAAAAAAAAAATCGGGGGAGAATGGCGCGGTGGATGTTGACGAGAGAATAAGAGAGAAAAAAAAACACGTAAAATTAAAAAAATACTAGAGAGCAAGGGAGAGTGTGAACGAGAAAGATACTGCTGACGAGAGAGAGAAAAGAAATTTACGAATCATGTGTATTTTCTTCGTGGAAAAAAAAAAATTGATATTCAATAGGTCATTACGGAAATATTAACATGAGTATTAAAGAAAAAAAAAAAAAACGTGAACTGTATTCGTGAGTGTCATATTTCTAAGGAAGATAGATCCACGGGCGAATGTTTTATAGCAGTTTCCGGCCGAATTTTGAAACGTCTCGATGGAATCCAAAAAATGAGGAGCGCACTGGCCGTAGGCGATAAAATTAATCGTGCTTTCAAACCTACCGAAGTAAATACGAAATCGTTCGAAACGACGAAACAAAGAGGAAAAACTAAAATAACTACTCCGGAATAAGAAACGAAAAAAGGAAAAAAATATATATATATAAAAATAGAAATAAAAATGAAATAAAACGAGAAAAACAAAAGAGAAAAATTTCATGGCGAGAACGAAAAAGAGGAAACTGCTCTTGAAACATTGCCCAGCGAAACCAAAGTTCCTACTACGTTTTATAAAGTATATAACTGAACTGCAAAACTTGAATTGTACATAAACGAGGGTTAAGCTAGCACACGATCCACAAATACAATCAGCAATCGAACGACGCTAAAAGACGAAGGATGCAGGATCAATTGATCCCACGTCGCGATTCGTTATTATTTATTCGAGTGAAATTCGAGGAGAAACCGCGAAGATCCGTTTGGTCCGTGCGCGCGCATCGGAAGATAACCTTGTAATATACCATCGTCTTCGCGAACTCAAGAGACGGGGGACAATTGATCGTGACAGCACAATAAACGATGAGCATAACGGAACACACTGCGAGAGAGGAAAAACGCGTTAACACAGACACGTACATATATACATACACCCATACACAGCCATGCAAACCGGTATACACACTCGCATACAAACACGTACGAAGCCACGTTACTAAACGAACGCATTGTATACACACGCGTATACGTGCGCGTATACGTTCACGTACATGAGACACACGCGTACAGTGAAAAGGAAATTAAGCACATTAAGTATACAATTAAATTAAGCAGCCGTAGCTTTAGCTTGAATGTTAGCACCTAGACAACACGATGTAACATTAAACTACGTATTTAAAAATGACAAAAAGAAAAAAACATGAAGAGATACGGAGAGAAAAGAATCTTTAGAGGTTAAGCGAACTATCTGTGTAAAATCTAGTAGGTGTCCACAAGAATAAAATAAAAACATATATTGTGGTACAAATCACACAAAGATCGTACCTTCAAGGTCCTGACTGCGCCTCCAACCGAACTCTTTCTTGTACATATAATTTTCGATATGTCGATCTGATTTGTGTATGATTTCTATATATACGATATGTATACCGCAATTATAATATTATTCACACGATAATCCTATTATTCAGCGTTCTCAAATAATCCGAAGAATTGCCGACAGTAAACTCAGTTCGTTTCTTTCTTCTTCAGTTCACCGATCACTGTCCAACGATGACATAAAACAGCGAATTTTAAATGACGAAGTAACTCGTACAATTTTCTCTTCAACTCGGGAACAAAGATCGTGGAAGAATCGCAAATTATTAATACGTTTTGAACCAACCAAAACGAGACTTATCTCTCAACGTCATCTAACTCGAGATCGTACTTATCGACCGAAAATAATCGACAGTTACATATCTCCGTCGATTCAGAGTTTCGTCGTGTCGTTTACTTCGCCGTTTGTAACCAGCTCGAACTCTGGTTTCGATTTAGGAATCGGCCTGTCCGTCTTCCAGGTCCACTCGATTACGCCGTAACCGATCATTCCAAGGAATAGGATTCCCATCAGAAAGTAAAGCTTCGTTTGCGTACAGAGGTAAGGACTGTACGCGTACGTGATCACGGAACCCGTGGATTCCCAGAGCCGGAAGTTGGAAAAGGCGGCTTCTTCTTTGCCCGAGAACAGTATCCCCGATAGAGCTAAAAATTGCAGAAGGATAGTATCAACCAGAGCGTGTTTTGCGTTAATATCAAACGTAGAAAAAGACACGAATGCGTTTATTTCGAAAAGAAAGCGCAGTTATCGACAATCGATGTGTTGTTCTCTGTAGATCAGTGAGAATACTGTTTTGTCGTTAGCTAGTATATCCGCTTGCAGGAATTCTTTTTATCGACAGTAAATAATCATTAAAGACAGATTGTTAAAAATATGTTTAAATTTAATTATTTAATATCGTATTATCTTCGTAATCCTTACCATTTACTTGTACCAGCCACATGGCGTCACAGAGACCCCATAATCCAGACATGAGAAAGAATATGGAACTCTGTTCAGGCGTTGGTTTCCAACGCAATAGAAAGACTAATATTCCCATATGAAGGCAAAAGGCGAATGTCATCAAAGGCCTCCTGCCTGTCAGTTTCATTACTGATCCGGTACCCAATGAAGCTATAGCGTTAGTTACACCGAAACAGACCATCACGTAACCAATGTTGCTTATTCCCCATGCACAGGATACGAACGACTATGGAAATAATCGTTTGAGTATATCGATAAACTGCGTAATCGATCTGCTATACCTACAGCGTTATAATCGGCGAATAAAAATGCTTGTTCAGCTCCAATGAACATGGTTATCGGCAGTATGAGTATTTGATTCCTTTCTTTCAATAACTTTATGGTTACAGCCAACAATTTAAATCCCGATTGTCCCGTTGTTGATCCGGATCTATCCCTTTTGTACCTATGAGAATTGAAAATGTGCGATGTCATTTTTTAATTAAAGATGTATATCAAAATATACCAGAAAGTTATTTTATTTCATTTTTGAGGTTAGAAGTTCCGGAATTTATTTCCTCTCTATCTATTCTTCGATCAAGATTTGCAGACGATGTGTCGTGTGGTGGGGAGTCACGTGATATCGTCTGAAGTGATATTAATGCACGTTTTCATGAAAAATACCGCCAGTTCGAAATTCGAAACCTCTCCTCGCGCATTGTACCGATTAATAGCAGGAGTTAGCGGTTGTAATTCTTCAAACGGAAACAATATTGTTCTCCTGCCGCAGCTTAATACCTCATCAATTCCGGATTCGCGAATATATCGGAATAGACGGACGATTTATGACAAGCCGAACAATACGTTTTGCAGCATGGCTGGAAAGTCGATCATGAATCATATCAACTCCTTTTGATGTTCGTATACCTCAGCTTATAGTCGATAGACGATGCGCATGAATACGTGAAGCAAATATGATTGTACACGCGAGCTGGATTTTTTCTTCTAAGTGAAACAAGGTGTACGTTGCATTTACTTTCACGTTTCGATGCGCTGAAATTTTATCCACGATCGGTATTATCGGTTTTCAATATTTCTTCGATGAGATTAATTTTTCTAACCGGGAGCTTGAAACGCCGTCGGATAACAAACGACGTAACACTTAATTTTAATAACTTAAGGACGAATGTCGATTTGTGTAAATTTAAGTGAGAGATTTAAAAGTGGAAAAAGGGAGTTTTAATATTCAATAGTTGATAACTAGGAAATTCGATATTTCTGAATCTGGAAATTTAAAAATTCGGAACTTTGGAAAGTCACATATTTAAATACCAGCGATTTGAAAATTAAAAAATTTGAAAATTCAGAACCTTGGAAATTCAAATATTTAAATCCCAGCGTTTGAGAATTCGAAAATTAAAAAATTTGGAATCTTAGAAGTTGAGTCAAATATTTAAAAATCTGGGATTTGGAAAATTGGAAATTTGGAAATTCGAGGATTTGAAAATTCTAAAATTTAAATATTCGTTAATTTAAAGATACAAAAAAAGTAAAAAATAAAAATTAAATATTTAAAAATTGGAAAATTTGATAAACCGTAAACTTTGTACTATACAAACGTCGTTTAACGAAGTACCAATTAATTTTATGTAAATAGAGATCACGTGGGTTATGGTTAATATAACGAATAGACATAGTTACCTTGTGAGTGAGTCAACTCCAAATGCGACAATTAACGAGGCTACTACCGTACAGCACAAATAGATTCCGAAAATTAGATGAATCCTTTCCTCTGGTGGTCGTTCCAAGTTGGGGCTGTCGGTGGTGTTGGAACTCGCGCCGCAGAATTTGGCACCGCACGTTTCCGCCACAATGCTACTATTCAACGTAGTATTTGTTGGCACCGTGTCGATTCCATATGATAGAACTATGATCATAAACCAGAAGTTCTAGAATGTTCCAGAAACCGTATTTAACAAATTGACATTAATCGTCCCAGCTTCAAAATCCACATTTCGCGTTTGCATCTCATTAAAATTCGTGTCAACGTACTAATATCCAATGAATTAAAATCATTAACATATTAATTCCACAAAAATTCCACCATGATCCTCCTCAGCTTCTTCCCCAATCAATTACTAAATTTTCAATTCCTAAATTTTTAAAATGAAATCAAAAGAAAAAAAAATAGCAAGATTAAAAACAATTTTCTATTATCGTATATATTATTCTAAAAATAACCAAAAACATACATTCAATTTTAATATTATTATTAATTATTATTATACCGTCGTGTGGTGTATATGTATATCGTTATTGCACCTCACATATGAAGTAAATAATTCTCTTACACACCAATCGATCGGGAACGAGGGGATAGTAAAATGGCTGAAAAGTGTAGAGAAAGAATGTGCAAACGTTTAAACATTATAATAGATGTAAACAATATGGTAGGGCGTGAGAGAATCCGGATAATTGTAAACCAAGTCCATTTCTTGCCCCGTGAGGTCGAAATTAATAAATAATAATAATAATAATATACCAATCGATCTTCAAAAATTCAACACATGATCCATATTCAAGAACATCATCAAATTAAAATACACCATTGCGATTGTCATCGCGTCCCAAGTTCGATTCGACAAATTCTACACCCTGTACTGTAGCCGTTGGGTTAATCTGTTCACCGATGATTTAAATTCTATAGCAATTCTAGAACGATCAAAGGATAAATCAATTATACCTGGAGACATTAACAATTTACAATACAGTACTGAGTATAGCCATCAACGCAGTACTGCAGTCGCTGTATCAACCCTTTGCACTCGAGAGGTGACTCTCAGTCACCATTTAATCAGATTCTAAAGATCGACGTTAATTAATACATCAAATTTCAAATTATCTAACGATGCGTGGAATGTCGAAGAAAAATAATTCTACGTCTTAATTTGCATATGATTTCTCATTTACCATTTTAAAAATATCGTCTTCGAATTACTATTTTAACCTAACGGAATGTAACGAAAATGTCGTCGAGTGCAAAGGGTTAACCTATTCTATGATCATCCAAGTTATATTCCAATTCTAGAATGATCAATGGACAGATCAATTATCGCTGTGGATATTGACAATTGAAAATAGAATACCGAGTATAGCAATCTAAACAGTACTACATCCATTGTATTAATCTATTCGCGGATCATCCAATTTCTGTACATCCCTACTATTATCCACTCTCTCACCACAAGCTCTCTTACCACTTCGAAATCGGTATTTCAACGATTATTGGTATATCACCTTAAGTTTACCCAGCCCGAAAGTTTCCCAAGGTCACGAACAATCCTTTCCGCGCGAATTGTTGGAAAAATTCGTAGACGACGGTGATATCGGAACGACGACCGACGAAATCTGTCGACCAGTTCTGCACAGTTCGGCCATTACTGCAGCCGTTACTACAGCCGTTCCGCAAATAAGGATCCAGCAACCGGATCTTTCGATCTCTCTATCCTCCTTCGCAGGTGAATCGACCGTGCTTTATCTCGCCTTGTCGGGGAAATCCCATTTTTCGACAAGGAAAAATCGCTGACCCGATTTCTATTGCACCCTCCAACCCGCGGTTCCTTGTAACGAGCACGACCTCTCCACCCTTCATAAATCGCGAGCGATTTCCTGTCATTTTCTTTCCTCCCGCTTCGTTTCGCCTTCCTCTCTTTTTATTTTTCATCCGGTACTTTCGGTTTGCGGCTTGGCGTCGTAATGTATAGTGCTTTCGCGATTCCCAGAGTCGCTGTATCGGTCGGAACGTTGAAAGTTTCAGGGCCCTCGTGTTCTCCGGCATCTAGAGTCGGAAGACTCGTGAATAAGCTCGGTCTCTCACGGGATTCGACGAGAAACGAAGCGATACACGTTGAGCGTGGTGGAAAAGGAACCGGGTAGCTTGCTTTCCGATACTCCCATATGTTCGATCGTTTATTTTTCGATTTTACGATCTCGAGAAATGAGAGGGATGGGTAAAATTGTCGGGGTGTTGTATCTGTTCAAACAGAGTTGCCGGATATCGAGTGTGACACGGGTATTTTGCCGCTGCTCTTCCACGCGTTTCCATTTTATTTGCCGCGTGACACCTGCGGTTTTGCGTATCTTCATTTTGCTACTTTATCGATCAATCCGCGAAATTTCCACGGACTAATAGACAGTCAAATAAGTTCAGGAAATTAATACGTTTTGAAGAATTTTAACCCTTTCACTCGACGATTTTTTGGCAAGAGAAGAGTAGAAATTCAAAGATTCTCTACTAAGACACTGACGATACTTTTTTGAGCAGTAAATAAAGAATTGTAGATTTATTTGATTTCGATACCTCGCACACTGTTACGTTAGATTAAATTTGATATATTAATTAATATCGATCTTCCAAATTTTATGAAATGGTGACTGAAGGGCGACTATCGAGTGCAAAGGGTTAATAAGGGATATTGATACGTCTGCAATCTACTTTGGTCGTTTATACTCGGTTTACCGATGTTTTGGTTATATTCTAATATTGGATTTTTATTTTTAGGTGAACCGGAAGCGGAGAAGAAAAATGGAGAAAATGAAGGCGAAGCGAGGAAGTTATGGCTGCATTCGTCTCAAAGGGTTTTCTGGGCAACCAAGAAGGATTAGAGCCGCTAATGACTTCTCCTAAGTGAAACGAAACTTTTTCTGTGAATGCCATTCGTTTTAATTTAACGTGTTCTAGATTTCGTCGCTGAGATCCCGCTGTCCGAAGTTTGGCACGAATTTTTATAACTTTATCCCACGATTCTGCGAATGATTGATACGTTCACTGTTGCATGGAACTGTACTCGTGGCCTGTATTCAATTTACCGGTGGCACTGGGATGATCATCATTGATTGGCGATGACGAAAATAGAAGAGACATTTAATCTACGTAAGTAGCAATATTTACAAAATTTTCGATATCGTAGTAGTCGAAGGAAGGAGAATAACAATTTCACTAGTCGAGTTTCACTATTGGACGGGTTAGATCTGAGGATGATCTAGATTTGAGAGATCCAGAGGAGAATACCGTTCTTCATTCGCTGCTATTCGCTTTCTCGTTATTGATTATCGAAATAATTTGCCAGTTTCACTACCTTTTGAACAACACGCTGTTTATTAACTCTTTGACTACCACGCCGAATTGTTCTAATACTTTTTTGATCGATGTTCTAATAGAAATTTTTAATTGTTCAATGTGGCACTTTTTATTTTAAAGTGTCTTCTAATTAGCGCTTATATTCACAATGCACCAACTGTCAATTTTCCTTCAATTTTTACAATTGTAGTATAGAAGTGGCTCAAGAGCTCCGGTTAGCGATGACCACCGTGGGCGTCACAGGGGAAACCATGGCCGGTTTTATATGACCAACGTGGCAGTTGAAGTGTTAACCCCTTCCCGTATTATTGACGAGTCTGACTCGTGAACAGAATATTTTTCTAAATATAAGCTGTTATATTATAAAATATGATATATTTATAATATTTATAAAAGGAAAAAGGATTAGAGCTTACTTCGTGACTGTATCACACGTATTGTAGAAATTTTACTTTATTGGCTCGTTTTTAATAGAAATTAACTGCCGGTCACTGACAGACGAGCCCTCAGCAGTCACCGTCCAATGGTCATTGGTCGCTGTCAAAATGATCGCGATGACACCGTGCTCGCATAAACCCTCGATAGTTCCATGAATAATCAAGAATAAAGAGCCCCTAAAGGGCGAAGCCTCCACGCGTGAGGACTGTCATTAGCACAGTCATTAGTAGTACAGACCCTCGAGCAGTTAAGCAGAGAACACGTTGCGAAATGAACCTTTCTCGAGACAAGACGCTTTTGACTTTTTGACCCGCGTTCCTTCGTGTCACCCTCGCCACACCCCTCGCAATAAGAAAGTATGTAAATAGATGGGTGACTGGGATTCCACCCATGCGATAGCGAAAACATTTATCATTCGTCCTATGGTAAATTTCTTACCTCGAAACTTGCAGTTCGTACACAGATACCTGGCAAATTTCCAAACCCATCTTTCCTAGCACCGAAACCTCGAATGACACGACATTATTCTCTCTCTTCCACTGCTTCCTGTGTGTAAATAAATTCAGCGCGATCATTTAATCACCCTCCGTACATTTCTACCGATAGTCAACCTGTCAAGAATTTTTATTTCATAATTTACTTTGTCGAATTTAATATTCCCCATCATTAATATACACCCTGTTCCACCTGCCACTATTTCTGCCATGTCATCGTGTCGTGTAAAGTATAAGATGATGAACATACGTTCTCGTTGTAGGTTTGCGCTGTCAAGAAACTTGACCAAGAGGAACGCAAAAGGATCTTCATTTCCGGCGAAGAAACGCCACGATTATACGCACCTGCCGAGGACATCAGGTTCCCCCAGACCTGCGCCATCTGATAGAACATGAAAAACAGGCCGAAGAACCTCGTGACCAGGACACCCATGGGGACATCTGATAAAGTGGAGTATGCTTCCGCGACGACCACTAAATAGGTGCACTTGGCGCACCAAAGTGGTCCGGCGCCAATGCCGACCAGCAGGCCAGCTGGTATCATGGTGTAGAATTTTGGGTACAACTGGGCCGCCATGAATGGCACGTAAGTCAGTATGGCCAGGGATATGGTCCATTTACAGCCCAGCCAGCTGTAACGAGATAAGCGAGATGTCATTTTACGCCTGTCATCTAAACTCTGACCCATTTGTCGCATCTTTTTAACAACGTCCCTGTGTTCCCAGGTATGTACATAGTAACAATGCGTATTAAACGTAAGGTTACATAAAGGAAGAGGTTGGTTGAATAGCGATGTACGTGTAAAAAGAGGAGCAACTTCTAACAACTCTTCTAACTACTTCTTTCAGCCTCTCGCTACCAAAAGCTTCACACGACGAATGGTCCCTCGTTTTCTCAAATTTCCGTTAACCTTTTCACTCCTGAGTTACGAAGAGAGTAGCAAACGCTGAATTAATTTAACAAATTGAGTAAAATTTCTTTCTTATCGTAAGAGATGACAGGACAGGGTTAGTTAGAGCAGTTGGATTACGTTCGGGTCAGCTCTAACAGCTTTGAAATCTATAGACGTTTCATCACGTTCGCAGTCCAGCAATCATGTTATAGTATGACGTTATACAACGTTTGCAGGATTAAAATGGTTAGAAAGGGTCTCCCCACCCCTTAGGTCGCTGAAAATATCGCAGATATATTGTGAATTCTTCGTCGATGGACGTTTTCGTCGTTTTCGTGTCCACTCACTGTCATTATTTTCCTCTTTTATACCCTTCTGCGTGTAGAGTCCTTAAACCTACGATACCACGTGTATGTGATCGAGTATTGTGTTAAATTCGCTTCGAGGATGAAATTGTAGGGCTAGAAGGAGCTAGCGTATTATTTTTCTACAACAAACGCAGGAATCGATATTTTAAGTAGGATTCCATGAACCAAATTTGGGGTATTGGATGTAGCGTGTAATCTAACCTAGCATGGTACTTTGTGCAAAATTTAGTGACCCATTTGCTTACTAAAGTTTGTAGAAGCAGGTTCGAGCAGACAAGGGAAAGATACTAGGTCCATTAGGGTACCTTTGATGATGTCGAAGACCTGTCGAGTTGGTAATATTTAATCTTGGACAAGAGGTGAAGTACTTGGGTTGATAAATAAATAGCATTGGAGGTGATCAGTTACTAGATAAATCGTAATAGTAAGAGAGACAGTCCAGAAAACTGTCAAGTGTCATTAGGGTAGCTTGAACTGAGTGATGAAGTTATTAGAAACTTAGATCATTTATTTTTCATGACTCTTCTCTTATTTTAATTTATTCTAAGCGCTGCTGTTGTTAATTATTAACAAACTGTCAACTGTCATACATTTCTTCTCATGTATACTTAGAAAATTAATCCCTTTAGCATATAATATCGTGTGAGACTTATGGTAAAGGATTCGAGCCAAACACGACGTAGTGAGAGGTTCGTAGACAGTTCGTAAACATTGTCCGGCTCGAACAGGCTCGTGATTAGTTTTCGCTGATATCTTCCTCTCAGTTGCGTGTTATTCTTCGTCGCGTTCGAACGTGTGACCGACCCTGCTGTTGATTACGGCACGCGCCATCGGCACTGGCAAGCCAAGGGATTATACGAGACGGTGAGTAACATTTTGTGAAGTGAGAAAATTAATTTATACATATGTAGGATCGGGGTGGGTGGATGGGCTAAAGTAATGTTGCTTTACTACCTCTTCAAATACAATAAACTTATACTTATATTATCGGCTACGAAACTAGAGACCCGCTACGGGTACGCTCGACTTTTACTTCTTAAACACTATCTAGAGATCCGTGAAGGACTGGTTTTCCCGCGCCCTTGCACCCTTATTTAAGCATTCACTCTGTCCTCATCTATACCCACGTTCTCTCTTCTCAATCGATCGGTCACGTATTCTAAACAGTCAGGTGCATTCATTAACTTTCACTCGTTTATCGCATTCGACTCTATCATAAACATCCTTTACATTCCATCCTCTTGCACGCGATCTCTTTCGTTCTAAGCCCAAACACACTTAACCTTCTTCCAGGGCCGTACTTATTCCAATCCCACACATATGTGATTATTGTATCTTCATATTTCTTTACTTTACTGTTGCATTAATTCAAAAATAATATTTCACGAGGTTACCGATAGCTTGCAGAATAAAATAAAATTTAAACTTCGTATTTTAATCGGTTTACACCCACCAAATATTTTCGGAAAAAGATCTCTGCAGAGAACTTTGAAAAGGTAGATAAATTCGAAGTGGAATTTGTTTATACCGACTTTTTCCGTTATCACGCGACTATAAATATACTCGTCAGGGGTATCAAACTCTCAGATGAGATTAAGCATTAATCTCCAGCTGAACGAATCTTTAATCTTACTCATATAAGAACAGCAAGATCATCTTTCATATTTAATGTAAGAAATACAAGGCTTTTGCAGACAGAAACGGAACTATATTTATCACTATAAGAATTATTACTCTGTATGATGTCACACGATGGATGTTGACGATGAACTGAACAAGGAAGGAAATACAGGAAGAAGCTCAGGGTCGCGTCAATATTCAAAAAGTTGTGGAAATACAGAAAAGCTGATATGACTACGTCTCACAGAGATTTTTGACGAAGGAGGGAAGAAGAACATCGAGGAAAGAAAAGAATTCTATTATGTAGTATCGCAGAATTTCCACCTCGTGTATAGGTGACTTTAGTTTGGAAGGTCGCCGAGGGTTCGAGGGCCAGTTCGGTCGGAAAAACCCCGGCGATGCATCAGGCCCTTAGCATATTTGGTCATGTTGGGAGAGGCTTTTGAGGAATATATATAAAAAGGCAAAAATGATTCGCGGACAGTTATGTTGGGACAGCTTTTGAGGAGTCATTCGAACGTAGTTCTATAGGAAGAAGTATAAGTTAGACGTTTAGTTGTATTTGTGTTGTAGAATCAAGCTGTAATCCTTAGTTTTAGTTGTAGTTGTAATAGTTGATCTATCTATATTCGTAGACTTCATCGTAACCACACATTCTCAATTCATTATATTATTAATTAATAAATAGGATACTATTATTTACCACCACCATAGTCTCTACAATTATATTACTAATTCTTTCATCGAGTATGCACTTTCGTAACTAACATTATTCCACAGTATGCCCAAGAGGTACCATTCAAAGAAAGGCAATAGGAGAAAAAGTGGTACCTCGAGTACCATTACCAAAATTCCATAACACCGTGTGACATCTGTCATTCAGTGAAAGAACAGAAAAGAAGAAACGGTAGCAATGTTAATAGATTCGGTTTCGACGCGCGAGGTAGATTATGTCAAACGATCCAGGAGACTGACGACGAGCAGGGGTGAAAATTTCATGGACGGTAAACCACGATAATAAAGTTTACTACGTCGATGGTGCAACCGTCGAGGCCAGTTTCATCGGGAAACTGCTTACGTCCCGTAAATCGACGACAAGATTCTTGAATTTTTCCGACGACCTCTCGAATCGTCGTGCGATTCGAAATCTCGATTTTCTCGCTTCACCGTCTCTCTCTCTCCCTCTTTCTCGCGGGAGAAAATAACGGAAAGAGTAAACCACCCTATCCTAGTTTACGCGACCCACCCGTACCTACTTTACGTCACCCTTCCGTTTTATTCCCGGCCTGCGAACGCAACATAACGCGGCACACTGGAAAGCACAAAGGATGAACGCTCATGCGACTCTTGACCCTTTTAAAGTAAACGAGTCACGTGTGCTCGTCTACAATGCCGAAGCGTAGGGCGGAAAAACGTCGCTGTAATTCGCGGTGTGCTTTAAATGCGTCGTAATTTTTAGATCCATCGCGAGGCCAGACAGCGATAAAGTTATGGCCGTCGGGCTGGAGCCATTCGAACCTAACCGCGTCCACGTCGTGCGTCGAGGATCGTGTCTACGACTAATTGTAAAAGCGAGACTAGGACTAATTATAAAGGCGAGATTAGGATTAATTGTAAAGGCGAGTCTAGGAAAATTGTGCAAATGAAATGTGTAATGGTATGTATATTTTTCTTTTCCTTTTCTTTTTCTTTTTCCTTTTCTTCTTCTTTTTTAGGTGAGATTAGGATTAATTGTAAAGGCGAATCTAGGAAAATTGTGCAAATGAAATGTGTAATGGTATGTATATTTTTCTTTTCCTTTTCTTTTTCTTTTTTCTTTTTCTTTTTCCTTTTTCTCTTCTTTTCTAGGTGAGATTAGGATTAATTGTAAAGGCGAATCTAGGAAAATTGTGCAAATGAAATCTGTAATAGTATATATATTTCTCCTTTTCTTTTTCTTCTCCCTTTTTCTTTTTCTTTTTTCATTTTCTCTTTACTTTTCTTCTTCTTTTCTAGGTGAGATTAGGATTAATTGTAAAGGCGAATCTAGGAAAATTGTGCAAATGAAATCTGTAATAGTATATATATTCCTCCTTTTCTTTTTCTTTTCTCTTTTTCTTTTTCCTTTTCTTCTTCTTTTCTAGGTGAGATTAGGATTAATTGTAAAGGCGAATCTAAGAAAATTGTGCAAATGAAATTTGTAATGGGATGTATATTTTTCCTTTTCCTTTTCCTTTTCTTTTTCTTTTTCTCTTTCTTTTCCATTTTTCCTTTTCTTTCCTAGGCGAGACTAGGATTAATTGTAAAGGCGAATCTAGGAAAATTGTGCAAATGAAATCTGTAATAGTATATATATTTCTCCTTTTCTTTTCCTTTTCTTCTTTTTTTCTAGGTGAGATTAGGATTAATTGTAAAGGCGAATCTAAGAAAATTGTGCAAATGAAATTTGTAATGGGATGTATATTTTTCCTTTTCTTTTCCTTTTTCTTTTTCTTTTTCTCTGGAGTAGATATAAAATTTTTATTTCTTTGGTATCCGAGTATCTCTAACGATTGGTTCGATTAGGTAGCCCGGATGTTCGCTAGAAATTATAATCCTAATCCTAATCGCGACGCTTCAAGATCGTTCTTGTAGACTCTCAGAGGTGTGGACATTGTAGCCAACGTGACGGTTGGTCGATAATTTTTAATTACTCTCCCTTTATTGATTCAACGTCCCCTTTCCCGGAGACTTTATTGAATGTTGATAGAATCCTCGTATTTACGGAAGCTTTACACGCAATAAACGTTTCCAGCCCGGCTTAGGAACATTTCTTTTCTCGAGAATTATATTAAAAGTTGTTATCGAACGCTCCTGCAGTGATGAAGTACCTTCCACGGTGCTTTATATTTCAGCCCCGTCTGTCATTTTCATCGAATCTTTCGAGATGAATTTTAACCGAGTATTTAATAAATTCGAAGCTTCTCGTCGTGTCGAGAGGGACTACGGAGAATTAAATATGATCAAAGGGCGAGCAGAATAAGTCGATTTTTATTCGTTCTCTTCTCATTCCATAAATATGACCAGGGATAATAATGGAGGCTAAATTAGACAGGATTTCGAAGCTTCATACGTGCTGCGTGATCTTCGCATGCGATCTCTGAATTTTCCACCGAGGCTAATTAAAAGCAGGTGAGTTATACTCGCTCTAACCTCGTCGTCTAGAAATAAATTCAATCAAGGATATCAAAGCTACTATCCATCTAATCAAATGATATATTTCCCAACTATCTGGAATTACTCTTAACACTCGTTCACACTTAAAAGCAATCGTAAGTCGTCTTACCTTATGATTAAAGGCGGCAGGAAAATATTGCTAAAAATCAAACTGCCATAAATGGACGCCAGCGTGAAGGTACCAAGCGACCCATCCGCGTTGATAGAGCTCTGCAAGTTCGTGGCACCCATGAACGCCGTGAAGTTCACCATGAACGCCAGTCCGATCACCAAAACGTTCCTCAAGATACGCCATCGCTCCGATGGCCTGATCTCGATCCTCTCCGTTCGCACGTTCGCGAACTGCCTCGTTGGGTCCTTCTTCTCCATGGCACTCGAATCCACCGACTGTCTGTCCCGATTCGAATCGAGTCGCGACGGTTTTCACGATCAGTTCACGGGGAAACACGCGTTATGGGATCGTTCGACGTCCGCGGGTCGCATAAGAATGCGTCTTTCGAGAGGGTACACGTCACGCGCCGAGCGATACACCGAGGGTCCGACGACCCATGATGAAATTTATTGGCAGCTTGATTGAAAAATTACCACGAGTCTCCCGCGGAAAAGCTGCCTTCCTCGCTTGTCAATGATCCTCCTCGAGCTTTCGCGCGACCATCGGCTAACAATCCTGGCACGACGTACAGGAAATCGAGTGCAATCGACTAGTTTCATCAGGGACCAAGGTAGATAGCATAATCGTCGTTTCTTGCGGAGTCGAAGTTCCTTTATCGAGTCACCTGCAAGCAAACGTTTACGACGCTCACGGGTTAGTAATTGTGCTTCCTCCGCTGAGAAGCGTGTATCGGATACTGGTAGATCGTTCATGGTGGTCCATAGCTGGTGTAATTTCTTTTGTGATTTGTGAGTGTCTACCGACTGTTAATAATAAAGTTCCAGGAAAATGAGAAGTTGAAAACTTAGAGGGAAACGAAAGAGGTATTGTAGCATACTATTTCTCATACTATTTCGTTTAAAACGTTCTTTGACATTTTCTAGAAGCAAACGGAAACAGATATCGTTATGAAAGGCTATTTTCGGTAGCAAAGCTAAGTTGCGTGGTCTCTATGGGGAAGTGAAACGCAGGTTGAAGAAATCGTAATCGTAATCCGGAAAATGACATACTTTTTATGGAAGCAAATCGCTAATGGGCTGAATCATATTAGCTAATTAGCTATTGGGAAAAGCACGCCATCGAGCTTTGCGAAAAGCATGAAGACAGGACCTTTGACGATACAGGGAGAGTCCTGAATGAAGAACCCATTGAAAAGTCCTCGTAGAAATAGATCGTGACCAGTACGGTCGTGAGTCGTTCAGTATTGGAGAGAATCGAATTATAGTGTGTCTCCGTGTATTATAGTTACGTTATTTTGGTATTCATTTCCTGCGTTAAATTAGTTTTCCGAGTTTAGTGTTCGTATTATTCTTTTCATATTGTTGTGTCCGTCTTCGGTGTCTCGAAGCATTTTATAATATAAATTCTTAAAATAATTTCGAAGACGAAAATTTTCTCTATATCCAAAATTCGAGGATATATATATCTACAGATTCGAATTTAATGATCGATTATCCACGAAACAGGACCCGTTACTGCTGGTACCACCGTTAAGGTAAATTTTATCCACCAATAGCGTTCTATTATTTATCAATAATGACACACTAGGTGGGCGAGATGGGTTTGACCCGGAAGATAACGAGCCTGTTTACGTCCTATTGACAGGTCATACGTTATATAGCTTTGTGTCGGGCCAGGAAGGGTAGCATGTCGGAATAACGATGTTCCGTGCGAATGGTGTCGGAGTGAATTTATCTCGTTGCATGATCGAGTGACTCTCGTTCCGAGGCAAGTTCCGTTGCTATGACTGCACACGTCACCGTCTGTCACTGCAAAGATGCAGGAGTCTCCTGCGAGACGGCGAAGTCTCTTTGTGGTATTAAAGGTGTTGGGTGGTGGAGAGATTACGGGTTTAACGCTGTGCGTTGTTCAGAGCTTAAAGGGTTTAAAGGTTTAAGACGGTACCTCTAATGCCGAATAAGCCCCCACGTGGCTAGCAGCGAAGCTGAGACTCGTTGACTAGCCACGAGGCAAGGAGAATTATTTAAAATTGAAGATGAACGATGTTATCGATCTTATTGCGTGTCACGATCTACCGATGCTTTATATAGATGACCGTGATTTTAATCGTGATGGAATGCGTAGGAGTCGACTTAAACTTGTTTTTGAATCACGAACAATTCGATGGTGACTCACGTTCACAATGCAAAATAAGATGCATGGGAGAGAAAATAGGAAACGATTGTTTCGATTACGTGTATCGTGTCTTGAAACACATGCAATCGAATTGGTATTCGGAATTTCGACATTCCGAATTTGGACTGCCCCGAATTTGCATTTCCATTTTGATGTTCGTCTCTTATTCCTACTTTTTCTTTAATTAAACAGAACGCGATTTCCTTGCGAAAGGACGGAATCGACAATTCGTATTCCGAATTTGGACATTCCGAATTTGGAAATTCTGAGTTTGGACTTCCCCGAATTTGTATTTCCATTTTGATGTTCGTTTCTTATTCCCACTTCTTCTTTAATTAAACAGAACACGATTTCCTTGCGAAAGGACGGAATTGACAATTCGTATTCCGAATTTGGACTACCCCGAATTTGGAAATTCCGAATTTGGACTTCCCCGAATTTGGATTTCCATTTTGGCATTCGTCTCTCATTCCCACTTCTTCTACAATTAAACAGAACGCGATTTCCTTGCGAAATGACAGAATCGACAATTCGTATTCCGAATTTGGAAATTCCGAATTTGGACTTCCCCGAATTTGGATTTCCATTTCGATATTCGTCTCTCATTCCCACTTCTTCTACAATTAAACAGAACGCGATATCCTTGTGAAAGGACAAAATCGACAATTCGCATTCCGAATTTGGAAATTCCGAATTTGGACTTCCCCGAATTTGGATTTTCATTTTGATATTCGTCTCTTATTTCCACTTCTTGTGTTATTAACCAGATTGCGATTTCTTTGCAAAAGGACGGAATTGACAGTCCCTGGAAAATTTTTTCGCGTACAGTACTTTGAAAAAATGAGAAGAAAATATGAGAATATTCCGTAACATTGGCCTCATAAATCTCGCAGTAGAAAATTAGTTGGAACAAGTACACCATCCCTCAGCTCGACGTTTACGCGATATTCTTCTCCGCGTTTTAAGGGTAGTTCTTGTAAGATGTTCATCGAGCAGTACTCGTGAGTTACGATTTTCCGTTTGATGATCGATAGAGTAGATCGGGAATGGAATGTTAAAAGTGCAGTGCAGGCAGACGTTGAAAAATGTGCTGCAAGTTGGCGGAGAAAAATGAGGTTTATCGAAAGAAGTACGAAACCTGCGAAACAACCGAGGGTTGTTAACTCGGTGAGGAATAATGCACTCGTTCTCCGCGCTTCCGGCGCTTTCCAAGTAATTTCGAATGTGCAAAGACTTTATTGACTTCCGAGAGTTTGTCGCGTCAACTTCGCGAAGTTTTCGAGATATTCCTAATCGTGACCCACTTAACATAAATTTAATTAAAATTTCGAGAGCAAGCGCTGCTCGGTACCCGATTATCGACTCAGGAATCGGTATTGAAGAGCAAATATTTATACGCGAGACGAAAGTCGATAGAATATCGCGTATTTAATAACCGCGATCACATGCGAGATATCGAATCTTCGGGATAGATCTCTATGACAGGTACGTGTGTTCGTTTCGTTGTTGCGACATGGAATCTCTTGAATATGTATGTTTATATCGAGACCTTAACGATTCCGACAAGCCAGGCGATTTAAGTGATTCTAAATGGCGATTTCAAGGTGAGCGATTGCAGCAGAGACTTGAATTTGAACAAAAATTCTATAATACTTGACATTTCCTTTAATCGATGAATAGATAATTTCAAGCAAGACTCGTTCTATTAGCTCCATCGAATTCTTCGTTCGAGTCTGACGAAACTCGTTTCATTTACAGATGACGGATAAAAATGCTAACGAGATTACTCCACGTCCACGGTGCTTAAAAAATACATCCTTCGATATGGAGTACGTGGGGAAAATTGTAAAAAGAGATTGTCCCGGCGCGTAACAATCAGTTAATCGCGAAAAACACTTAAACACGGAAGAGACGTTGGACAATAAAGCAGCTTTATCTAACTCGAGGTAAATTCGCGTCTTTTTTTCCGTTTAAACAGTGTCTGGCTGTGAGTTAAGATAGCGGGACACTAAAATGGCGAGATTAGACCGCGACTGATGCGACGAAAATTAGAACAGACCTTGAAGTACCAATACCACGCCGTGCCATGGCACAAAAAAGAAAGAACAAATAGAAAAAAGTATAGAAAAATGGAAATAAGCGTGGAGCGTAGCGGATCTAACCGCGTCGATCCTAAACGCACAGATGATCGTATCGACCGTGTCTGATCGATATCGCGACGCGCGATTGTCCGAACACGCATGATCGATGTGTCCTTGGCGATCGGTATCCTTGCTCCTTTCACGAGGTCCGTTCTGGAACTGGATACATTTCCAATTCCATTGGCACACGCCTTGACAGAAAACCGCCTAACTATCATACGATCTCGCAATTAAAGTGTCGCAACCGGTTACTATGAATCGTATGCACGAGCTCACGATTGCGAAACCAGCGTAAAGACGTTGAACACTCACGTGGAATTACTTTAACGCTCGCGCGTACACTTGCGGAAAATTAGTCGTCTTCAATGATTGACTCATTGAATGCGCGATTTTTTGCGTCATTAATCTTATTGCGGATTGAATTTCAGAAGATACTTTATTGGACTAAGATTAATTCTTGAGTATGATATTACTGAGAAAAATTAAGACAGCTAGATGAACTATAAGAATGCTTTGTTATGAGATTTTGAAGATTCGAGTTCGGAAAAATTAAGAAATTAATTGTGGTACAGTTAGAATCATTCGATGGTTAAGTCTTGTAAAAGCAATACAATGTGAATTGTTAATTTGGCCATATTTCATATTACACACTGGCATAATTTGAGGTTAGAATTTATAACGGAAATGAAGACAATTTAATACAAGATGTTCTTTATATATAGAGGCTATTGATCGGTGTTACTGATATTAGGGAGTAATAAAAATGTAACTTTAATCCATTTTTGCAGAGAAGCTGAAGAATCGGTCAATTTTTGCCTGTAAAAGCAATACAAAGCGAGTGATTAATTTGGCCACATTTCATGTTACACAATGGCACAATTTGAGGTTAGAATTTATAAGGAAAGTGGAGCGAATTGAATACAAGGTGTTGTTCTTTATATATAGGGGCTATTGATCGGTGTTAGTAATATTAGGGAGTAATAAAAATGTAACTTTAATCCATTTTTGCAGAGAAGCTGAAGAATCGGTCAATTTTTGCCTGTAAAAGCAATACAAAGTGAGTGATTAATTTGGCCACATTTGTTATCACACAGTGGCACAATTTGAGGTTAGAATTTAGAAGGAAAGTGAAGCCAATTGAATACAAGATGTTCTTTATATATAGGGGCTATTGATCGGTGTTAGTAATATTAGGGAGTAATAAAAATGTAACTTTAATCCATTTTTGTAGAGAAACTGAAGAATCGTTCAATTTTTGTTTATAGAAGCGATACAAAGTGAGTGATTAATTTGGCCATATTTGATATCATACAGTGGCACAATTTGAGGTTAGAATTTATAAGGAAAGTGAAGCCAATTGAATACAAGATGTTGTTCTTTATATATAGGGGCTATTGATCGCAGTTACTAATATTAGGAAGTAATAAAATTGTAATTTTAATCCATTTCTGTAAAGAAGCTGAAGAATCGTTCAATCTTTATCTATAGGAACTTGGTTTATAGAAATCTCCTATAGAAAACGCACTTAAATAATATCGTGTTGTGTAAAATACAGCGTTAATATAAACCAAGTAATTCCAACTCCCTGCACTAATTAACCAGTGAATTCCCGCAAGGAACCGTCTCATTAATATTCCGCAGAAGTAGAAACGTTGTTAAATCGTTTGATCCGGTGAGATTGGACTAATTATTTCTGACTAACGACCGACTCCAGGATCGTTGCCTCACCCAAAGGGACACGAATACTGTGCGTTGAAATAGCTGAAAATTAACATAACCAGATTCCAAATAAACAGAAAAGCTATTCGAAAAGTTATAGGAAACTTAGTCGTTGATCCTATTACGTCTTCGTCTCACTCGGTTCCTCGTGGTGCAACGGTGGCGTTCCGCGTGCTGGCTTCTTCGATACGATTTGCATGCAGCGTTTTCGCGCATTTGCATAGTTATCGTGTTTGGGCCCTGACTATCGATGCGAAACTTTAACGGGCCGAGCTCGAAATTGGGCGAGACACGGTATCCTTGCACACGCGATTCGATATATCTGTGGTATACCTAGAATCATCCTCTGCGATCTCTGCTTTCCTCCAGATTTGTACAGTGGGATTTAAAGAAGAACAAAGTCAAATCGAATGATTGGAAGGAAACAACTGGCTGCTTTGGAACAGAAATCGGGTCATAGAGTCGCGTAATTGAAGATTGAATTTAATTTATGTGTCACTTAAAGCAATATTGGTTTTAGTGTATGCAATTAGAGAAATCGTTTTGTGATTGGGAAATGTTTTTGTGTCGTTTAATAGTCAGTGCATGGCGGTAGACCATGGTGCACAGGGTATGTACTGTGCATAGGTCAGGAGTTTCTATATAGGTGGAATGCAGGTTTGATTGACCACAATGTAATGGTCTACCTTCACTAACACAATTGTGAAGATAGGTCACGCCAATTTCCGTCATTGGCTGCAAGTGTCATGTTTGCAAATGGAACTGCGTCGAATGGGACAGAATGGTACTGCTGTGGCGTAGATACAGGGTCAGTGTTAAGTACTCAACACGAGGTAAAAATAGTGTCGACGTAATTCATTCCATTATTATATCAGAAGTATAGATTTCAAGTTCATCAAACGTGGTGTCAGATAGAACGAACTTAAAAACCTGTCAAATGGAAAAAGAAAAATCGGGCGTAGATAGAGGATCAGTGTTAAGTACTCAACACGAGATAAAAATAGTGTCGACGTAATTCATTCCATTATTATATCAGAAGTATAGATTTCAAAAGCATCAAAAGTGAAGTCAGATAGAACGAACTTGAAAACCTGTCAGATGAAAACAGGAAAATCAAGTGTACAAGAATTACGTAATATTTGCTGTTGTGAGTGTAAATTAAAATATTTTAAATTACAGACATCTAGAAATTAGATCTCGTGAATCAGAAATTTGTTTTTAGGATTTAGTGAAAATAACGAATGATGAAGTGGACAGAAATCTGGGCGCTTATGGGAACAGTGCTGTATCACGTCGATCCACGAGAAGCGACTTAACACCTCGATTTATCTCGAGCTCGGGGAATGTTTCGGTATCGTGACACTTCGAAATTTTAATCCGCACGAAACGTCACGGATACGCTGCGTAGAAGCTTCTACGATCGTAACAGATTTATGTTTTAATCCCCGGCAACTGGTCATCCCCGAATTTCGGATATTTTAATGAACAGTAAACAAAGATTTAAGCGGAGATTTACAACCCTGCCGCGCGACGCGGAATTTCGTTCAGATTTCGAGTGCTCCTCCATTACAAAATTCCTCTCAGTTTGTCGTTTCAACGGTCCTTTCCTCGTTCAATTAATTGCCGCTAAATATTGCGAATTAATTGAAATAAATTCGAAGAACTCTTCACGGTGATTTTCCTCGAGTCAAGTCGTTTGATGAAAGCTCCTAATTATTTTCTCGTCGCGTCTTCGAAAAACGACATAGTCGTTCGTAAAGTTAATTGATCTCGGAAATTGCGATAATTCTTTCTAATATATCCAACCACCAACAATCGCGTGAATAATTAATCAGTTACGAATAATTAACAGACTTGTTCCAAGATATGAAATCTTGACATTTCGCGAGTGCCAATTTTTCCTTATTTTTCATCCGCGAGTTCCTCGAAGATTCTGCAAGAATTATTCATGAGGAAGCGTTACGAAATTGATTATGAAATTATAAATGGATATCTGAATATGCACACGCGTGTAATAATCCTTCATATATTCACTCTCACCAAAATAGGTTTCTGAATCTATTTACGATAATGTTCATACGGTAAGACGAAGCTTCCTAGAAGATAGAATTTTATTTTAAACATATTCGTTTATTATGCATTCGCGAAGATTTTTCAATGATTTTCCTTTCCAGGATCAAATGACGTTATCGAGATTCCGCGAGAGTCTCCGATGTTTATCAAAACGTCATTTTTATAGGCTCCATTGGAACGATCACAGAGTCAACTGACACGGATTCTAACTCGCAATTAACGTGTACTCGCGGCGTAACGAGGAAACGCTAATGACAAATACGGTAGAACGAGTAGTTAATTACATTGTTCAGTCATGAGTACGGAACACATTGAGGTAGACTTTGCGAACAATTTATTAAATAATTTTTCTAATTATTAAATAATTAGAAAAATTTAAATTGTCAGATCTACGACGCGATACTGAGAAATAAAGCAGTTCCGTTTTAATTTAATCACGAATAATTGCGTCATGGAATGCACCAGTATTGGGACACAGAGAGAGCGTGCGAACTTCCATGCATTGCAATTTTGGTGCTTAGAAATATATTATCTTAATTACGGTGTAATTGCAGCCCGAAATCTACCGGGTTGTATTTAGAAAAGAGTACTCGCTGCTTTCTTAACTAAGGGCCATACTACGTATCGTTAATTACGAAATAATTATATTACATCTGCAGGATTTCTTTTGAAACAGAAAAGGATTTATTCGTGTATAAATTACATATTCAGTATTTCGAAACGTTTGTTAATTGCGGGACTGTAATTATGCAGCGTTTACCAGCTTCTACTCAGAGAATCTTGAAAAATCAAGTCAGATCTATGTTCTCAACTCACGTTATATTCTCCCACCAGCAGGAACAATTTCAATAATCACGTATCAAATATCACAATTAGCAATACGAAGTAATCATCGATGTACGATAAAATCAATTACGTTCTAGAACATAAAATGAATTCGTACTAATGCGTCCCACATTTTTAGCATTTGATACAATGTTCCCGTTAATTACGGAATAATTAAGCCACGAAGCCTACCAGATTTCATCGACAGAGAAAAAGGGCTCGTACAACCCAACAGCAGAGGGATTCGTGAAATTAAATATCGAATGGGACCGAAACGAAATTGTGGAAAAAGAGAAATATGAGCTCTCTCGCAGCGAATCACCGGTAATGTTTCAAAATCACGCTTTCAACCGGTCGAGTTATAATTTGACAGTTTCTAGGGCTACTTTTGCTTCGTCACGGTTTTCGAGGCCCCTCCACCGGATATGAGTCTCACCTCTGACGTGATGCACGGTTTCCTTTTCCGCTGGACGATCGCGAGCAAAAGGGCTCGATGGCTGCCGACAACACTTTACACGGCTGACTTCCTCCGGATTGTCCCCACCTGGTTGCCCGAAATCTCGTCGCGAATCGCTCGTAGGTGCGCAACGAGTGAAATAACACTGATCGAACTCGAAACCTCGCGGTCAAACCTTCATCCTGTTCCGCCCCACCTCGGTGTCTTTTCACAACGCGGGAACAGCTATTTGAGTAGGGATCCCTCGATGCTTATCGAGGCGAATGTGGCTATCTGTATTCCAAACGCACGTCGTTTACGTCTCGCTCCTGTTCCGCCATCTTTTCTCGTTTCTGCGAGGAGTCGAGGAAGACGCGTCTCGGTAAGGGAACCGGAAGAGCTCGGACTGGTAAGTCTCAGACGAGCAGATTTCCAACGAGATTCGATAGTGATAAATTTAGGTTAGGAATACGTGGATTGTAGGTTAAGATGTGATGGAAGATAGTAGTGGGAATTAGCGAAGTCGGATAGTGTTACGTTTCCTGTGGTAAAGTAGGATGAGATCAAATAGAGTCATTATGTTGTATATATACATGTATACAAGATTCTTGCTGGAAATTGTTTTCATTTGCGTAAAAATCGTCTGTGCTTTCTCACGATGCTTAAAATCGTTAAAATTATCATTACAAATTTTTATTAGTACGATTATTTTGTGTCAATGCAGCAATAGCTATCGACCAGTGTTCCGTGACCAGAGCATAATTTCGTAACTTGTTTCGAGGCTTTAGGAGAATTTCTGATAATTGGTATTAAAGGAAAAGAAATTTCTGACGATCGTGTCAGCTAATAGTCCGAAAATTATACTGTCCCGAAAAGAAAGGAAAATATCGGATACCGATAGCCACCGTTCAAAATTAATACACGTGGAACATTTCGATTCTCAGGAGACCGGTGTCCAGTTGCCAATTGTTTATTCCGCGCTCGGATGCCAGGATCGAACCCGATTAACGCAGTTTCGACGATATAAAATTGACTTCTGGGAATTACCCATCGCACACGTTTTCCACGCTACGCGGCTGATAACAAACGACAAAATGGAAATTATATTTCTCTATTTTTACAGCTGAATAATCCCGCGTTATCAAAGCGAAATCTAAATGACCGTGACAAGGCCAATTCGTGCGGTTAATCGTCTTTATTGATCATAAGAGACTGATTTCCATGAATGATTCCCTGTTTTACGACTTTCCGAACTGCGATCGAACGTGGCGTCCAGTAACGATATAATGACACCCGCGACAGCAGTTAAGGTATTAATCTTAATAACAGTTCTCGCGCAATTGCGATAATTAGACACCTCGGTCTTTCTACCTCTCATGTCCGTTCATAAAATCGCGGCCCCGTTTGTATGGATCTTGGCACGGATCGAGTTCTGACGTAAGCTTCTTGTTAAGCAGATCGCTATCGATGTTTTCTCATCACATTAATTACGAAAGGTACACAGACAATTATGCTGGGAAACATTCGAAACGTGGAAATACGAGTCGCAGTCGTTCCGCGGAGGCTTGTCTCCTGAAATATTCATAGATCTCCGGTAATTAACGGATTGATAAACAACTCGGTCATTCTTTTGTATCAACATATGTGTCTCTGATTACCTGACAGAGATTGCTATTAATTGTACATTCCGTAAAAGTATGTCGATCGATCAACGCGTTAATTAATTAATGTTACGTGATACAGACTCGAGCGATTTTAAATGGACAGTCTATACCGGGGTCCCAAAGGCGGGTTCATTAATCGTCGGAATTAATTGCGGTACGACCTTACTTTGCATCCGTGAAAAAGAAAGACCGTCCCCTTGGAATTTCTTTAAACGATCCTGGTCTGTTTTATATGCACACCTCCGTGAATCATTACTTTTGTTTCCGAATACTTTCTTTTCGGGGGTTCGGAGGGTAATTTATTAAATGTGAGGAGGAAAGGGCGATTAAACCAGACCCGAAATTAACGACCGTGGGTGACATAATTTATACAATTCGCATTTAAGGAAAAGACGACGGTATACGTAATATCGTGATTTATTTCTGTGATTTTCAGGTATTTCTCGATGGAGTGTTTTATAATTTGTACGTACACACAGACAATACCACAGGTTCCCTAATAATATCGCATGAGATTTGTATATTAAGTTACCTGACGTTGACTATTATATATTCGCGCATTAATTTATGACGTATTTATCGTTCATATAAATATTTATATTACAATATCCTCTAGAGTAGGTTAATAGATATGTATATTTACAATGTTGCTTTTCATGCGTAATAAATAGAACTCCAGTATTAACTTCCTGCCTAATACAAACGATTATTAGAATGGTTATAAAAATGGACCTAAAATTAATTCTTTGCATTCCATTGGTGCCATTATGAAGATATTGATAGGCTCTAATTAGTTGGTTGTTTAAAAGTTATTATTGTGATTCAATAGTTTTTATTATTTATTTATTAATAATTTTTATCACTTTATTAATTATATTTATTTTTTCATCGATATGGATGGAAACTAAAATGACTAAAAATTATTGTCATTCATTGCGTGATATAATTCACTACTTTTGTGGAAAATGTTAGGTAAATTCGTAGCCATTGCCACAGCCCGTGCAACAATAGTCAGTTCCATGTTCCCATTCCTCGCTGTTTCGTTTCCTACCCCACAATGGGGAGGAAAATGCGCGTCCACGATTACGTATCGGATATTTATTGGTCATTCTTGTTCCCTATTTAATAATTCCATATCACGAGTGTTACCCTGCTAGCGTTCAGTTCTAGATTACACGTAATTCTGCTACCGGAAACGCCGGAAACGCGACCGTCAGAAAGTAATATCCGCGTCGCGAGCATGCGCACAATAACTCTGTTCTGCTTTATCCGCTTGCTTACGAAACAGGGTGTTCTTTGCAAATAAAACGAAAAACATCGATAGCAGTCGCCGCCTGTATATTTCAATTACCCTGCCACTACGTAGTCACGCTTTATTAATTATTTGCCCTGGTGGCGTGGAGTGGTGTACATTAACCTTTATCGCGCGCCGCTATTATGAGGCATGGCAAATAGTCGAGATAGTCAACGATGTTGGCTGATAATACGCGGTGGAATTAAAAGTTCCTGACAATGAGGTACATACGAATGTAAATATATATATATAACTCGACTAATTTTGAATCACCTCGTGAAAGTTTGGAATCAGTCATGACAGGGTATGAACTGGTTTAATTAAATCGCTCTGGGTCCGGGGTAAGGAGGAAATGAAATTTATGTTAAAATTATATATTTTCTTAAATTTTTAATATTTTTTAATTTCTTCCTTTGTCTTTGAAGAACCTATTAAAAACAGAAGATAATCGAAACATCGATTACAGTATATTATGGTTTATATAATACTTAAGAAAAATATTTTTTTTCTTCTCTTCATTGTATCGCAATTTCATTGAAATTTAATAATTTTCGGCACAATGTTTGCTGAATTTATAACAGTCGCAATATCGAATAACCCTAAAACAAATTGTCAGTATTTCCATCCATATTCAATTTCAAGCGATGCAGAAATTAATAGCGGAAATTATTTCAATATTCATCGCAAAGCTCGTCGTTGATGGATTATTTGTTTCACTCTCGATCATTAATTGTCCAATATCATACCTAATTTACGAGGCATTCGAGTAAAATTGGCGTATTTACAATACACCCAATTAACGAGCCATATAAACATTCGATTATTATGGCTGCCAGCCAAGAAAAAAGGATATTATGTAAATTCACTTTAATTAAGGAAGCACTCTACGAAATGAAGGCAGGATACCATGCAAAGTAACGTGCACAACAGAAAATTGAACGACGGGAAGGATTTAACGGTCGCACCGTGTATTTCCCATTTTATACGTTTGCTCGATCAAGTTAAATTTAAGCTTCGCGGCGACTACATGCGGTAATGCGATTCGAAATTGCGCGTGTGTTTGAAGTTGAATAAACAAAAGGAAGTGAACTTGTTTAAACAGTGTCTGAACATACAGGTACACATTAGTCGGCTTTAACGAAAGACGAAATTTTTCCATTTGTTGTCCACGGTTTTATTTTTCCATTTCTTTTCCTATTTCTCTTTTTATTTCTTCATTCGACGTTGTTTATTTATTAAATACTTTTCAGTCAATAGCCATTGTGTTTCTGCTCGATTCATTTACCATTACCATTTATCGTAAACTCGAATATTTCTTTTCCACTTTTACAAATCGATTTAAATTAATTTTCGAATTATTAATTCAGCAAAATTATTACAACGATCAATATTATTCCATCTCGAATCGCTAATATGGAAAGAACACGTAGATCGATAAATCGTTAAATCGTAACTCGCGACATTCAATTCCTCGGTGTTGATTGCTAATTTTAATCAATCTTAAAACGTTTTCCGTTGTAAACGACTGCGTATCTCATTTCTTGATCAATAACGGTTATTCCAGTATCCATAAAAAAGCGATACTGATTTATTGCTGGTCGAGTGGAACTTCGTATGCAAATGACCAAGATCTATATCCACGCACATGGTAAGTCTACATGAGAAATAACCAAGTGTAAGTTCCGGAATTACACGTCAGTGGTTGCAATGTTTCAGCTCCTGGTAATCTATTTTCGTCCCCAAACGTGGCTTCAAAATTTCTCCTCCATTTTCTTCATTTTTTTACGAAAACGTTTTTATGGAAGGAAACAATTTCCCTCTTTCCAGAAAATAAATATTCAAAATCGAGCACGGGACTCGACAAAGCAGTAACAGCTTCATTCCCTCGATGAACGAGCGGGGTAAAATAGCGAATAAAACGGATGGAAAATAAACGGAAACTGGTGAAACTGAAATGAGCGAATCCAAGGTGAGAGTACGAAACGTAACTATACTGGAAATCGGATTTATAATAAAATTCAAATTTCTCGCTGCTCGTGATCACGCGGGAAATTAAATTCGCGATGGGATCGAATTGTCGCGGGATCTATGGGTCTCGAAATCGACGTTGAATGATACATGAAATGACGAATGGCGAATTAGCATGAAATTTCTATACATTATATCGTGTGGCAGGAATACGTGATGAAATT